ATCAGACGGGATGATAAGATAACAAACAAATATAAAATGTTTATCAATTTTTTTTTTTATTAACGTGTTTCACTTTCATTAGAGTCACCGACGAATCTTTTGTAGCGGTGCACTCCATGCGGCCCCGTATCACAGAAAGGGGTGAACGAGGTTACAAGAGGCCCGCTGACATTTTTGAAGACGTTAAATCTGACGGTGAAACAATATAGACGACAGAACGAGGATATGTATGATAAATGCTAATTTATTCAGGGAAAGAAAAAGGAAATAAAGATGGTCGGAACGGTGGAGGTGCAGAAGTTTTAGTGCTGGCATTGATTGTCGAGGTTGGTGTTGGTAGTTGCTAGGATCATCGTTGTTGGGGGTTGAAGCTGATGTGGGTTGTTGCCAGGATGATCGCTTGGTGGTTGTTGAAGTTGATGTTGGTTGATGCCAGGATGATCGTTGTTGGTTGTTGAAGCTGAGTCGTTGCCGTGGTGCCAGCTTGACGTGTTTGTCGTTGCCGGGGTGCCAACTTGTTGCTGTAGTTCATGTTGCCAACTTGTTGTTTGTCATTGCCGGGATGCCAACTTGACGTGTTGGGAAGGAGAGAGAGAGAGAGAAAAAAATTTCCCAACTATCGTCAAGTTGGCAGACAAAAAAAAATGGGAGCGTAACTTAATACACAGCCTGTTGATCGGCGTCCTTGGCCAATCAAGGCCAAGGGGCCTGCGTAGCCGACCGTTTCGGTCGCCGACCGCCTCCTCGAATCTAGCGAGAAATCACTCTCTTGTGACAAGGGAGACCAGGAAGAGAAATTGGCTAAGCTAACCGAAAAGTCTCTATAATAAAATACTACATGGTTAGCTGAAGAGAACTAAGGTCTAAAAATGACTAGTAGTATATTACAACTAGGTTTGTAATATAACCTAACTAAAAAGGGGATTTGCTAGTCCCTCCGACGTGTTTAAGGAGCATGAATGAGAGGTCAAGGTCGAAATGATCTGTTCCTCTGCCGGTTCAAGGATAGAAGGAGGAGGTAACTCCGACACTTTATTAAAAATGAAACATGCATGCATACATATGGTAAGATAAAGAACATTTAAACGGTGTTTACTGTTTCAACGGAAATATAACGTAAAGCGAGTGTGAGAGAAAGAAATACATAGAAAGCGAGAGCAGAGAGAAATAGAAAGCCATTAAGAGAGAGAGAGAGAGAGAGAGAGATAGAAAGCGAGTGGGGAAGAGAAATAGATAGAACGCGACTGAGAGAGAGAAATAGAATGTGAGTGTGAGAGAAGGAAATAGATAGAAAGCGAGAGGGAAAGAGAAATAGCACGTCACAGAGAAAAATAGACAGAATGTGAGTGTGAGAGAAGGAAAAAAGAAAGCAAGTGGGGAAAAAGAAGTAGAAAGTGAGTGGATGAGAGAAATCGATAGAAAGTGAATAAGAGAGAGAGAGAGAGAGAACAATAGATAGAAAGGATGAAAGAGGAAATAGATAGAAAGTGAATAGAGAGAGAGAGAAGAGAAAGAGAACGAGAAAGAGAAAATAGATAGAAAGTGAATGAGATAGAGAGAGAGGAGGAGAAAGAAAGAGTGGGAGAGAAAATAGATAGAAAGAAGAGAGAGAGAGAGAGAAGGAGAAAAAAAAAGAGAGCGAGTGGGAGAGAAAATAGATAGAAAAAGATAGAGAGAGAAGGGGAAAGAAAGAGAGAAGGTGAAAGAGAAATAGAAAGAAGATAGAGAGAAAGAGGAGAAAGAAAGAGGAGGGGAGGGAAAAAATAAAGAAAGGAGTAAGAGAAGGAGAGAGAAAGAAAGAAAAGAAAAGAAGGAGAGAAAATAGATAGAAAGTGAGGGGGAGAGAGAGGGAAGAGAAAAAAAAGAAGGAGAAAGAAAGAGAGAAGAAGGAAGAAGAAGAGAGGGGAAAGAGAAAAGAAGAAAGAAAGGGGAAGAGAGAGAGAAAAAAGAGAGGAGAAAGAGAAAATAGAGAGAAAAGGAAGAAGAGAGAGAGAGAAGGAGAGAGAAAATAGAAGAAAGAAAAATAAAGAAAAAAGAAGGAGAAAGAGAGAGAGAAAAGAAGAAGGGGGAAGAAGAGAGATAAGGGAAAGAGAAGAGAGAGAGGGGAAAAGAAAGAAAGGAGGAAAGGAGGAGAAAGAGAGAGAGAAGAAGGAAAGAAAGGAGGGGGAAGAGAAAAATAGATAGAAATGTGACAGAGAGAGAGAGAAAGAAAGAAAAAAAGAAGGAAAGAAAATAGAGAAAAAGAAAAAAGAAAGAGAGAGATAGAGAGAGAGGAGAGAAAGAAAGACAGAGGGTGAAAGAAAGAAAAAAGAAAAAGAAGGAGATAGAGAGAGGGAGAAGGAGAAAGAAGAAGAGAGAGGGGGAAGAGAAAATAGAGACAAAGGGGGAGATAGAGAGAGAAAGAGAAAGAAAGAGAGCTAGAGAAAAAGAAAAATAGAGAAAATAGGGGAGAGAGAGGAAAAAGAAGAGACAGAGGGAAGAAGAAGAAACAAAGAGAAGGAGAAGAGAAAGAAAAAGAGAGAAGGAAAGGAAAAATAAAAAATGAGGAGATAGAGACAGAGGGAGAAAGAAAGAGAGAGAAAAAGAAGGAGAAAGAAAAGAGAAAGAAGAAGGAGAAGAGAAAAAAAGGGAAAATAAGAGAAAAAAAGAGAAAGAAAGGATATAAAGAAAAAGAAGGAAAGAAAGATAGAGAAAAGAAGAAGAGAGAGAGAGAAAGGAAGAGAGAAAATAGAAGAGGAGTGAGAGGGGAAGAAAGAGAGACAAAGAAAAAGAAGGAGGGAGAAAAAGAGAAAAGAAGAAGAGGAGAAGCAGAGAGGGGAAGAAAGAAAAAAGAAGAGACAGAGGGAGAGAGGAAGGAGAAAGAAAGAGAAAAAAGAAGAAGGAAGAAAAGAGAGCAGAGGGAAAGAGAAAATAGGAAGAAGAAAGAAACAAAGAAAAAGAAGGAAAAGAAAGAGAGAAAGAAGAAAGAAGAAGAGAGAGGAGAAAAGAAAGAGAGAGAGCGAGGGAAGAGAAAAAACAAAGAAAGAGAGAGAAAGAAAGAGAAAAAAAGAAGAAGGAAGAAGAAGAGAAGGGGAGAGAGAGAGAGACAGAGAGAAAGAAAGGAGAAACAAAGAAAAAAGAAGGAGAAAGAAAGAAAAAAAGAAGAGGAGAAAGAAAGAGAGGGAGGGGGAGAAAAGAGAGAGAAAGAGAAAGATAGAGAGAGAAGGGGAAAGAAAGAGAAAATAAAAAGGAAAATAGGAAAGAAAATGAGTGAGATAGAGAGAGGGAGAGAAAAAGAAGAAAGAGAAAATAGAAGAAAGGGAGAAAGAAAAGAAGGAGAAAGAGAAAAGAAAATAGAGGAAAGAAGGAGATAGAGAGAGAGAGAGAAAGAAGAAGGAAGAGAGAGAGAGAAAAAGAGAGAAAAAAAGAAGAGAGAGAAAAAAGAAGAGAAAGAGAGAGGAAAAGAGAAAATAGAGAGAAAAGAAAGAGAGAGAGAGAGAGAGGAGGGAAAAGAAAGAGAAAGAGAGAGAAAGAAGGAGAAAGAAGAGAGAAGAGGAAGAAAGAGAAAATAGATAGAAAATGAGGAAAGAGAGAGAGAGAGGGAAAAGAAAGAAACAAAGAAAATAGAGAGATAGAGAGAGAAAAGGAGAAAGAGAGAGAGATAGAAGAGAGGAGAAGACAGAGAGAGGAGAAGGAGAAAGAAAGAGAAAAGAAACAAAAAAAGAAAAGATGAGGAGAAAGAGAGAGAGAAAAAAGAAATAGAAAGAAAAAGAGAGGGAAGAGGAGATAGAGAGAGAAGAAGAAAAGAGAGAAGAAAAGAAAGAAAGAGAGAGAAAGAGAAGAAGAAAGAGAGAAAATAAAAGGAAAGAGAAAATGAGGGGAGAAGAAAGAAAGAGAGAAAAGAGGAAAGAGAAAGAAAAGAAAAGGAGAAATTGTTAAAAAAAAACGAACAGAAAAAGAGTAAAAAAAAAAGGAAGGAGAAAAACGAAAAGAGAGAGAGAAAGAAAAAAGAGAGAGAGGAGAAAAATAGATTGAGAGAGAAAATAGAAGAGAAAGGAAAGAAAGAAAAGAAAAAAGAAAAAAGAAAAAGAGAATTATCGAGAGAGAGGAGAAAGAAAGAGAAAATAGAAGAAAGAATAGAAGAAAAGAAAGAAAAAAAAGAGAAAAACAGAAATTAAATAAAAGCCAGACAGAAAGAGAAGAAAGGAGAAAGAAAGAGAATAGAGAGACTGAAAAGCGAGAGAGAAAGAAAAATCAGATAGAAAGAATGAAAAAGAGAGAGAGAAGGATTTACTTCTGAAAGATTAAACTGAGAAAATAGAGAGAGAGAAACAAAATCCAGATTTAAAATAGATAGAGAGAGAGAGAGAGAGCCCAAAATAATAGAGGGGAGAGAATAAGAGAGAAAATCAAGAGAAAGAGATAAAGAAAAGAAAAAGAAAAGAAAAAGATTATTGTTTAGATAGAGAGAGGGAGAAGGAGAAAGAAAGAGAAGAGAAAATAAACTCAAAGTTGGAGATTTTGAGAGAGAGAATCGTTAAAGAGTCCTACCTGGGGAATAGAATAGATAGAAAGTAAAGTGAGAGAGAGAGAGAGAAGGAGAAAGAGAGAGAGAGAGAAAGGAGAAAGAAAGAGAGAGAAAAAAAAAGAAAGAGAGAGAAAAAAAAGAGAAAGGAGAGAGAGGGGAGAGAGAGATCAGGAGAAAAGAGAAAGAGAGAGAGGGAAAGAGAGAAAGAGTTGTCCATGAAAAAGTGACGCCTCTTAAAACAGAAAAAAATTGAGAGAGAAGGAATGAAAGAAAGAGAGGCGAGAGTCAGAACCACTTCCGGATAGAAAGACGCAGTCCTAGATAGAGAGAAAGGGAAAGAAAAGAGAGCAAGTGAAAGAAAATATAAAAATAGGGAGATAGAAAACCTGGGAGAGAATAGAAAATAGATTATTTGTTAGATAGAGGAGAGGAGGAGAGAGAGAGCAGTCTAGAGAAAAAAAGAAAGGAGAAAAAGAGCTTAGGAAGAAAGGATTCAGATAGAGAGAAAGATTTTTGGATAGAAAGAGAGAAGGAGAAATTGAGAAAGAAAAGAAAATATATAGCTTGAGGGAAGAAAGAGAGAAAAGATAGAAAAAATAGAAAAGAGAGAGAAAGATAGAGAGAGAAGAAGAAAAGAAAAAATAGAAAGAAAAGCAAGTGAAAGAGAGAAAAAAAAGATAGAAAGGAGAGAAAATAGAGAAAGAGAGAGAGAGAGAGAAATAAAGAAAGAGAGAAAATAAAAGAAAATAGAATGAAAGTGAGAGGAGAAAGAAAGAGAGAAGGAAGGAAAGAAAGAGAGAGAAGTAGAAAATAGATAGAAAGGAAAGGGAGAAAGAGAGAGGAGAAAGAAAGAAAGAAAAAGAAAAATAGAGAAAAAGAAGTGAGATAGAAAGAAAAAGGAAAAGAAAGAGAGAAAGAAAATAAAGAAAAAAGTGAAAGAGAGAAAGAAAGAAAGAAAGGAAAGAGAAAAATAGAAAGAAAAATGAGAAAGAAGAGAGAGAAAAGAAAGAAAGAAAGAAGGAAAGAAAAATAGAGAAAAGTGAGATAGAGAAAGAGAAAGAAAGAAAGAAGAGAAAATAATAGAAAGAGAAAAAAGAGAAAAAAAAGAAGAGAAAGAAAAATAGAAAATGAAAGATAGAGAGAGAGAGGAGAAAGAAAGAGAGAAAGAGAAAGGATAGAAAGAGATAGAGAGAAGAAGAAAAGAAAAAGAGAGGAAGAAAAATAGATAGAAAGAAAGAAAAGAGAGAGAGAAAGAAAGAAAGAAAGAGAGAAGGAAAGAAAAAAAGAAAAATGAGAGATGAGAAGAGGAAAAGAAAGAAACCAAGAGAAAATAGATAGAAAGTGAGAGATAGAGAGAGAGAGAAAGAAAGAGAGAGGAGAAAGAGAAAAATAGAAAGAGAAAAGAGAAAGAAAGAAAGAAAGCAAGAAAGAGAAAATATATAGAGAGAGAGAGAGAAGAAGAGAAAGAAAGAGAGCAGGGAGAAAAATAGAGAAAAGGAGATAGAGAGAGAGGAAAAGGAAAAGAAGAAAGAAAGAGAAAGAAAAAATAAAGGAGAAAATGAAGAGAGAGAGAGAGAGGAAAGAAAGAAAAGAAAGTGAAAAGAAAAAATAGAAAGAAAGTGAGATAGAGAGAGAAAAGGAGAAAGAAAACAGGAAGTGAAAGAGAAAATATAAAGAAAATGAGATAGAGAGAGGAGGAGAAAGAAAAAGAGGGTGAAAGAGAAAATAGATAGAAAGTGAGAAAGAAAGAGAAGGAGAAAGAAAGGGAGAGGGAAAAGAAAGAGATAGAAAGAATAAGAGAGAAAAAGAGGAAGAAAAAAGAAAGAGAGGAAAGAAAAAATAAAGAAAAAAAGAGTGAGATAAAGAAAGAGGAGAAAAAGAAGAGAAAGTGAAAGAAAGAGAAAGAAATGAGAGAGGGAGAGAGAGAGGAGGAGAAAGAAAGAGAGAAAGAGGAAATAGATAGAAAGGAAAAAGAGAGAATTTGAAAGAAAATAAAAGAGAAAGAGAAAATAGAAAGAAAAGGAGAAAGAGAGAGAGAGGAAAAGAAAGAGAGAGAGTGAAAGAGAAAAAAGAAAGAAAGTGAGAAATAGAGAGAGAGAAGGAGAAAGAAAGAGAGGAGGGAAGAAAGAAAGAAAGAAAGAAAGGAAGAGAGAGAGAGAGAGAGGAGGAGAAAGAAAGAGAGGGAGAGAGAGAAAAATAGATAGAAAGTTAAGTGAGAGAGAGAAGGAAAAGAAAGAGAGAGAAAATAGATAGAAAGTGAGTGAGATAGAGAGAGAAGGGGAAAGAAAGAGAGCAAGTGAAAGAGAAAATAGATAGAAAATGAGTGAGATAGAGAGAGAGGAGGAGAAAGAAAGAGAGTGGGTGAAAGAGAAAATAGATAGAAAGTGAGATAGAGAGAGGGAGAAGGAGAAAGAAAGAGAGCGAGTGGAAGAGAAAATAGATAGAAAGTGAGTGAGATAGAGAGAGAAGGAGAAAGAAAGAGAGCAAGTGAAAGAGAAAATATATAGAAAATGAGTGAGATAGAGAGAGAGGAGGAGAAAGAAAGAGAGTGGGTGAAAGAGAAAATAGATAGAAAGTGAGTGAGATAGAGAGAGAGAGGAGGAGAAAGAAAGAGAGCGAGTGGGAGAGAAAATAGATAGAAAGTGAGTGAGATAGAGAGAGAAGGGGAAAGAAAGAGAGCAAGTGAAAGAGAAAATAGATAGAAAATGAGTGAGATAGAGAGAGAGGAGGAGAAAGAAAGAGAGTGGGTGAAAGAGAAAATAGATAGAAAGTGAGATAGAGAGAGAGAGAAGGAGAAAGAAAGAGAGCGAGTGGAAGAGAAAATAGATAGAAAGTGAGTGAGATAGAGAGAGAGGAGGAGAAAGAAAGAGAGTGGGTGAAAGAAAAAATAGATAGAAAGTGAGTGAGATAGAGAGAGAGAAGGAGAAAGAAAGAGAGCAAGTGGGAGAGAAAATAGATAGAAAGTGAGATAGAGAGAGAAGGAGAAAGAAAGAGAGCGAGTGGGAGAGAAAATAGAAAGCGAATCAGAGAGAACGAAATAGATAGAAATCAGTTTGAGAGAGAAATAGATAGAAAGCTAGCGAGTGAAAGAGAGAGAGCGAGTAACAGAAATAAAGTGAGTGTGAGAGAGAGAGAGAGAGAAATAGATAGAAAGCGAGTGGGATAAACTGAGATTGAGTGAAAGAGAGCTAGAGTAAGGGTAGATAGATATTAAGCGAGTCGGAGAGAGAAACAAGCAGAAAGCAAGTGAATGAAAGAGAGAGTGAAAAAGAGAGAAACAAAGAGATAAAAAGAGGGTGAGTGAGCGAGAGTGAACATTTCCATTCTCCGACATTTTCTCTCTTTCTTTGGTACATTGCGTCTAGCATAAGCGTTAAACAAAAATACTGAAACCTTTTCTTTGAAAATTGTCGAATAATATTTCACCTGCTGACTTGAGATCTCTATCCGTGGCCAGTACGATATTACCCTTTAAAACAATGGGTTGGGTTCAGGGTTTCCTGTGCACTGCTTGTCTGCGCGTCTACACAGAAGAAAACATTAACTTGTGTAGAAGAATTTAAATTCAGCTCACAATATTCGCCAGTTTGAGATCATTTTTTTAAAGTTCGACCTTTTCTAAACAAGGAGTTTTACTAAAATTAATGTATTTTTTTCGTGAGATTTTGCTATGTCAAATTCTTAAATATGTCAAACATATTTATTTTGGTGCAGATTTTTATTAAATTGGCCGGCCACCTTTCGTTTCCTAGGATATCCGTCCGCCATTACGGCTAGCCAAAACCCTATTACAGACGTTGTTTAAACTGCAATTAAAATGAGTAGACTTTGCTTACAGCTACTGGGAAAGAGTTCATAATCTGACGTGATGAAGTTTTTGAACAAGGCCACGAAAGAAAGAAAGGATGGCAGAAGTGTTTACCGTCTGTTTCAGTGAAATGGGAAAAGTTATCAATTTCAAATCTTTTCATTTGTACCCCCTTACTTCTTAAAATAACAATCAGCATTCATATTTATGATTGTTATTGTAAAAATTTTGTTAAAGTTGTTAAGCTCAAATACAGTAGAATCCCTCATATCCGGAATCCCTCATATCCGGAATCTCTCATATCCGGAGTGCCTCGTATCCGGAATACTTAATGTCCGCAATGCCTCATATCCGGACATGATTTTGATGTGTATATTTGAACTATTTGAGTGATATGTAACTGATTTGAAATTTCTGTTTTAGCAGCTGTTTCAGTGAGATGGAAAAAAGTTGTCACTTTCAAAATCTTTCCGATCTTTTCATTTGTACCCACTTACTCCTTAAAATAACGGCCAGCATTCATATTCATGATTCTTATTGCAACATTTTATTAAAGTTACTAAGCCCAAATATTTAATGATGCACTACCGTAATTTCTCCAGATATCTTATTGTCGTAGAACTCGCTAGATTATTATTAAATCATTAACTGAAGATTTAAAATTCATCAAAATATTCAAATAGAAACACTGTGAATTTTTAGCTCATAAATAACGGACTGTTACATTTTTATTGCGGGGAAAGACGGAAAAGACATATCAAAGACGCTACTTGGTTGAAATAAAATGAAAAAAGTTCTCAATTTCAAATCCTTTCATGATTTTTATTAAAATATTTTATTAAACTTATTAAGCTCAAATGTTTGACGATGCGATAGGGGAATATCTACGGATATTTTATTGTCGTAGAACTCGCCATGAGCTTATTCAGTCGTTAACTATAGAATTAAGAAGATTCATCGGAATATTAATGTACGGCGAAGACCTCGCTGACACACAGGCAAACATAATCAATTGTTTATTCATTATTTTACAGCTTTGGTGACAAAATTGCAATTGGTACCATTTTATGTTCCTTGTGAAATATATATATTTTGTAGATCATAAAGTGTATTGTTAGTAATTTTGCGATAAAAATGTATTTTTATATTTTTTAGTGTTTCATTGATTGTCATTTTGCAATAAAAATGTATTTTTGCTCATTTTATCATAAAAATGTACTGTTGATTTTTACTTGGGAATTCGTTATTTACCCATAGATGGGGCCCCAGTGGACAATGCTCCTCAAAACATCCAATCTCCCGATCTCAGAGGTTTTGCTGCCGGATGTAGTTTATTGTTATACCCAGGACGAGGGAAGGATAGTGAAAAGACAAAGCTTACTACCAGCTTGAGTCAAAAGCGTTTTCCGGATATTCACTAATGATTTTTGGCATCTTGCATCTCCATGTTACATTATTGATTTGATACAACTTATCGAATCTTTGCTGAATTGTTTATTCTTTATTTTCATATATAACATATTAGCATTATTTTTTTATTCCTTATTTTACAGCTTTGAGTGTCGAAAAAATTGAAATTATAACCACTTCACGTTACATTTTGGAAAAAGGACTGCGTGTAAGGGCAGCAGGGAAATAATTATATGAGGTGGAAAAATCACTAGCTCTGAATGAAGGTGTGGCAAAAACGTCCTGGATAATCTAGATTCAGGAGCAAGGCCTCTGATTGGGAGATTGGCCCTTTTGAGGAGGATGGAACTATCTCTTAATTGCTGTTCTTTCCAGGTCCACCCTATCTAGAGGACCCATAGATTATTAAATATTTCGAACTCTATTATAAATAAATTATACCTCTATTATTCTTTATTTAAAGCTGTTCGGTTATGTTTCTATTGATTGCTACTTGCAGGAAATAAGTGAGTCACTTTTCTTTGCACAGAGTTTTCCCTAAACCTCATTTATATTCAAATTTATAATTATCAATAGAATACCTTAGGGTGAATAAACTTTTTTACTAGGTCGTCAGGAAGGGGTCTTTACATTAGTAGGATTAAAAATTAGTTTGACCCCCAAAAACAATAGACAAAAAATATTTTTATTAAAAAAAATCAGTTGAGTCACTTTTATCGAACAACACTGTATTTATTTTTAATCCGATATTTTTAATCCGGCATTTTTAATCCGACATTTTTATCAAAGCTTCTTACAGCAGAGAATCATATTTGAGATAGACGTCCCACTTTTATTTTTATTTTGAAGAATGCGTACGAGGGTGTGCCTAAAAGATCATAGGCTGACTTATGAAGGAGTGATGCTCGAGCTGTGAAATATTGCAAGTATTATTTTCAACTCTTCTTATTAATAACTGTATTGTTTCTTTCCGGGTCAATTGACATCTGACTGTTCAAAGAAGACTTCAAATGTAACAGGTAGCGACATCTCTTGAAAATCGATAAAATTTGACATCGTTATGAAGAACCTGCAGAAAAATAGTTTAGCCCTTAGCCCCCAAGGACATTCATACTGATATTGTTGCTACATTAGGAAATGGCGCCCCAGGTTTTTCAACGTTGCAAAAGCGTGAAGCTGAATTGAAGAGGGAAAGGGAACATTTTGAAGATGGCACAAGGTCTGGACGTCCTACGACTATCACCACCGAGGAAAACATTCACTATATCGTGCTACATGCTAGGCGAATGACTATAAATCATATGACATTGGTATTAGCATACCTCCTGAGAGAGTTGAAAATATTCTGCACAATGAACTTGGCATGACGAGGGATTCTGCTCGGTGGGTGCCACGTCTTCTGCCAGCTGATCAAAAGTGCACCAGGCTGATCACATCACGGGAAAATCTGACATTATTTGAGGCAGATGCAGCTGGTTTCCTTGAACGTTTCCTAACCTAGAATTTCTTCTGGATCTTGTCTTCTGATCTAAATTCGGTGATCACATTAATAATTTAAAAAGCATCTTTCGAGTTCGCTTAAATTACTTTCGAATTGCGCGTTTTTTATTATTATTTTGCAAGATAAAACTCATCAGTTTTTAACTATTTCCAATCGATCGCCATTCCACCCATTCATATATACATTTTATTTAACCTTTGAATTAATTTCGATAGGATTTACAATATTTTTCTTATCTTCAAATAATCAATATTTACAGTTCGGTTGGCTTTCTTTTCATTTTGTATGTAACACTGATTCCTCATTAAGCACTTAATATGTTTTAATTCTTGACTAATTTTAAAAACTCAACTACTCCTTGGTCCGATACAAACTAGGGCTGAAAGGTTCATAGGCTGACTATGAAGGATTACTGTTAGATCTGTGAAATATTGTATGCATTAATTATCTTATTAATAACTGCATTGGTAAATTGATATCTAACTGTTCAAAGAAGACTTCAAATGTAACTAGTAATGACTTCTCTAGAATGTAGGTATCATGATCAGGAGACTGCAAAAAGTGTTTAGCCCTCAAAGACATTCAAGCTGACATAGTTGCAACATTATGGGATGACACTCCAGCTATATCAACAGTGTAAAAATGGGCAGCTGAGTCTCAGAATGGAAAGGAGAGACTTAAAGAATGAGCCAATATTTGGCCTTTATGTAATAGCTACCACCGAGTAGAACATTGATCGTGTGCCCTACATAGCGATGGATTGCAGGCGATTGGCGATAGATCAATTAGCCAAATCTATTAGCATATCTCGTGAGAGAGTTGATAAAATTCTGCGCAATGAACTTTGCATGATAAAGGTTTCTGCTCGTTGTGTGCCACGTCTTCCGACACCTGAGGAAAAGTTCACCAGGCTGATCACATGACAGGGAACCTATTGTTTGAGGCAGATGCAGCTGATTTCCTTGAAGGTTTCCTAATCCAGGGAAAGTAATGGCCAGAGGATGGATGCAAAAGGTTTATTGACTATCTTCAAAAGGGCCACCGTATCAATGAAGAATACTATGGGGTTGGTGCAAAAAAAATAATGACGTAATAATGTCGTTTTTTGACGTTACGTCAAAAAACGACATTATTACGTCATTATTTTGCACCAACCTAATATATTAACTTGTTGAGGCAGTTACGAAAGGCTATCAAGACCAAACACCTAGGAAAAAATGACGAAAGGAGTTTTGTTTCATTAGGGAATTTCTCCAGCACACAAGTCCTTGGATTCAACAGCTGCTGTACGTAACTGTGTTATTTTCTTTAAGACTTTCTTTTTGCATACACGGAATTCATGGAATTCTCAGTATCCTACTGTAGAACCATATATCTGCTTCCTCCAGTTTTTTCCTCTTCTGTGTGGAGATTGTCCAAAATTCACGTAAGTGGATGGATATCACATATAAATTCTGCACTCTTTTCTTTGTTTCTACACAACTTAGTGTCTCATGAAGAGGTTTTGTCTAAAGGATGCTGACAATATTTGCATTTAGATAATATTAAAAAACGTATATAAACATTATTTTTAAATAACACAACCTCACAGGTTGTTGCTGATCATCGTTTTCCGCAACTTCCTCTTTTTGTTGCCTTAAGTAACATTTGATACTTTGCCATATCTTTTAAGTGAAAAACAAGGAATTTCTTTTCATTAATTTTTCTATATAATATCAAATTCAACAAACTAATATCGTCTACGAATTCACTTACACACTTGGGGAATATCTATGCAATGAGAAGAAAATCTCAACATAAACACTGGTTACGTTGTCAGTACATTGTCGATTAACTTGCAATTCCTTTAATTTAACAACAATCAGCACAATAACAAAACATCAGAAGAAATCCAAACAAATATTTATTTATACTAAAAGATAGTATACCGTTCTTCTTTTATATGCCCTATATTTGAGAACAATAGGAATCACGACTCCCAAAAATTCCAGCTTTTGTTGCATTCTTCTTCTTCTTCTTCTTCTTCTTCTTCTTCTTCTTCTTCTATGCCTCGTGTCCCTCAGGACGTAACCGATCATGGCTCTCAACAATACCCTGTCCTTCGTAACTCTTAATAGATTTTGATTGTATGTTTTTTCTTCTAAACTTTGTTCTGTCATCCACTTATTCAAGTTCTTCAATTTCTCCTCTGTCCATTTTGCCTTTAATCTGTCCTGTGAGTACCAGATTTTCCAAGGCCTCTTACTCTTTACCGCCAATTTTTGCCGTTGGCCTTCCATCTATTTACGTAAACATGTCATGTAGGCAATTTATTGTTTCTATCTGCTCTCTTTGCATTCGATATAGCGTATCGGTGTTACATTTTCTATGCCTTGTTTCCTCATTATGTTATTTATTAATTTTGACTCAATTTAGTACAAATATACAATAGCGAGACATTCGTGAGGATCATTCTCATAATACAAGGTCTGTGAGATATGTTTGCTAACCAGGGCACTATCGGTTTAATAAATATACTGGGCGGGGGTGGGGTCCTCACACTAAAAAAGAACACAAGTCCTTAGAAGCATATGTCCGCAAATCTTTGGGATATTTATTCTAAAGTTTACGGTAGACGCTGTTAAATGTACAATCTACGATACAATCCAACAAAATATTATTACCACAGTTTGTGGTCTCACTGATCCTGTCTCAGCAACGGGGCGATAAAGAGCAGTAAAAGTTCGGTCTGGAAACTCAATCTGATACAGCCGTGTAGCCTCGCGTCCATTAACATTCGCACGGCTGTAGGCAAAAATCATATCTGCCTGCTCATGATATGAATATCCTGCCATTGATAAACGCAACACTTCTCAGGTAACTCATTACTACACACGTTAAATGTTGAAGACAGACTAGCCACAAATATACACGAATAACAAATATAGCCTAGTCTACATGGAAGCACAGAGCCATCTACCGTAAACTTTCATTAAACTTAGAAACTCAGAAACGAAAGATTTGCGGATATATGTTTATATGGACTTTTGTCTTTGTTTTTGGTATGAGGAACCCACCCCAAGATTCTGTAAAAGTATTTTGATACATCCTGTATAATGATCCGTACGGCATCGAGAAAGTTCCTCTCTGCGTACGTATGTGCGCATGTCGTAGAATATGGATTGGCCCACATTTCTAATCAGATGATGAGATTTGTAAGGCCAGGGCCAGATAGCTATCGAAGCTTGAAAACAGGGTTCCAAGCGAAGAAAAATCATACAGAATCGAATGGCAAACTGAGTTAGAATTGTGCGCATGCGTAGTCAAGATTAAGTAAGATGGAAGAGAACAAGCGGAGTGGAAGTTCTTTGTTGGAAGTACAAGAAGAGGAGAAACTGAAGGTGAAAGAAAGAAAGAAAGAAAGAAAGAAAGAAAGAAAGAAAGAAAAAAAGAAAGAAAGAAAGAAAGAAAATGGTATAAGTGAAGAATGATACAT